TCTAGCAGGCCTGTGAATATTCTGAAGGATACTATTATGTTAAGGGATACTGCAATCTACAGTCTCAACAGCAACACTTTAGGTCTGAAACTGTATTTCAAAGGAGAAGGTTTTGCGCCAGAAGCAACAGAATATTCTTATTTGCCTCTTAGTTGCCTAAAAATTATTAATCAACACGTTGGTTTTCCTTTCTGCCTGTATCAGCTTTTACATATTATTCCTTAAGTCAAAACATGTTCTCTGTAGTCCACTTCTCTTTATACTACTAGGTACATCATGGACAGTATAGGAAACAGCTGGGAAGGGACTTCATATAACTAACTGAAGTGGTTCAAAGAAACCGCTTGTGTACACACAGATATACAATAAATACTGTGAAGAAGTGTTTCAGAACTAGAATTTGACTAAAAGTGGCATTTCTTAGAGTATGATTGTCATATTCACATATTTTTAAGAACAAAGAATCAAAGCAAACTATTGTTCTCAAGTTCAAAATACCTTTCCTGTATGTATGTTTGAGTTTTAAAATCCCTCCATCAACTCAAGAACAGAGAGGAAAAGAAAGGACTCTAGCAAACTGAAAACTCATACAAAAGGAGAGAAATTGTTTCCTCTTTCTACAAGCAGGAGAGGAGCAGTTGTATTATTTCCTATAAAGGAAACTGAAACAATTCTGAAGAGAAAAAAGAGCATTTCCAACAGGCAAGAATGAAGAACTCTAGAGTTTTATTCTGAGCTTCATTTTCCCTTTTTAAGCAATTACACAACCTAATAGACTACAGCCCATATACTTTCACTTCTCTTGCCTTTTTTTTTTTAGTACTTGGAAGATTTTTGGCTGCTATGTATTAGAACACACCTAGTAAAAGAAGAACTAAATTGAGAAAACTGGTTCTAGAAGGTCAAACTTTCAGTGGAAAAAATGTTTACGGTTTTCTTTCAACTTTTACTTGTAATTTGAACATCTCTTAATTGATCCCTTTGCTTGGCTGGAAGCTAATCTAAAAAGACAAAATTTTAATCTTTCTACATTTTCACCACATTCACTACCTTAAGATTCTATTTAATAAAGGGTTCTCCATCCAAGGACTTCAAACTATATTTAGCAATTACCCAGTGTGGAAGTGAATGAACTCTTACATGGAGGGAAGCTAGAGCACAAAGTCACAGAAAACTTTGCCAGGATTGGAACAGAAAATCTGTAGCACAGCCAGAAAGACTTCCTCACTCCCAGCTCTACTTCTCAATCATAATAAATTCCTTTCTGTACGTACACAAGCTCAAAGAGAAACTCCAGTAAATAGGCAAGAAATGCCTAAACCCATAAAAATGACTGGATAAATAACAACAGAGCAAAGAAAATACTGTCCTGCCACAGTTTGTCTTCACTGCAACATATAGCACAAGTTCTTCTGCATAAGTTTGCTTAAGCAAAGCATGAACAAATGCCTGCACCATGACACAGATGTGCCTCTGAAAGCAGTAACATTAGTTATTGAATAATGGAGTTACATAGAGCATTTTGTGCATCATTTAACAGTGCATACTCTGGCCTTGGAAACACTGTAGGAATTTATTACAACACTATTAATGTTGAAGTTGGTTTTTTTTCTCCTCTAGAGAGCTTTTAGTAGTAGCATCAGCACAGACTAAATACAGTACATAAGACAAGTTCAAAATTTCCTTCACCTTTGACTACAACTTCTGTTTCAGAAGCACCCACCAGAACTGAAGGTGAGGAACACACCACCGGAGGAACACCCAACACTGGTCAGCACAACTCCAAAGGCTTGGAAAGCCTTCCAATATTTGGAAGCCTTCCAACATTTTATTTCAGTGAAATATTTCTTTACCATTCAAATTGGACTTCTGAATTTAAGGGATCCTGCCCCCATGTCATAAATGAAAGTAAGTATTCAACTTTGTGGCATCTAGGGGTACAAGGAAGGAGCAGTGTCCTACAGCCACTCTACTAGCACACTGCTAGGGTTATAAGTGCTTTTCCTTCCGACTCCCTGTTCAATTCTGAATTAGGTTTGCCACACAAATCCAAGATCACTTAAAGATGTAAATGGTCCAAGATACCTCAACTCAGATATCTAAACTCATATAAACAGAGTTAAGTGGTAACTGGCTGAAGCAGTGCATGAAATCTTTTGCTGTTGAAGTTAGAGATGATTTCAAGAATCTCATCAGCTCTTGCCTTTAAGGAGCCCATGCGCACTCTGCCTTTGGTGCCTCTTCAAGAGCCACAGGAAGCCTGTTAATGGAAATGCAGGCTTTGCTCATCTAGCACTAGCAACAAATGACAGGTCCTAACTCATTCCTGCCTGACGCAGAAAGGTAGACAGATTTACATATGCGTTTCCCTGCAGTAACAGCATTGTTTCCTTCGGAGAAAAAACCCCCCTCATCGTACAGGGCCCTCCCTGCAGCTGCTTCCTCCTGCCTACCTCCCCTCCCCATCCCAAAGGAAAATTGCTTTTGGTGAAGGAGCATAAGCAAGGTCATTACCATGTCAATTCTTCCTCCAAAATAACTGATAAATTTCTTTAAAAATTTTTAAACCACTGGGGTCTACTAAACTGTTTTCTGAACCTGTCAGCACAAAGCTCAACATCTTAGAACAAGATCCAGCGAACAGGGAGCGTGCAATGAAGTTTCGCCCCTGCTCGTGCTGGAGCCCGGCCAGAAGGGAGGCTACTCCTGACTCCCAGCAGCTCCCAGAGCACTAGTACAGGCTTTTCAGCTTGGAGAAGCTCACACAAATTTAAACACTGCTTGGTAACAATCAGCTACATCTAAATTAAGAAAAAGGATATACAATTTGCCTTTGCCATTCACACTTTTACACTAAAATAACTCAGCCTGCATGCTCAGTCATAACCCTTCCTTGCTGAAATATGAAAGCAATGAAAAACCTGTCAACTTGAGATTTTCAAATTTTCATCCAAAGATGGAGAAATCCTGCATCTGAATGGTATTTCTGGACATATACAAATATGACTTAGGTCTTCAACTAATGCAAAGTGCATTTACTGTACTACACCAAAAGGGTACAGAGGCCATAGAGTCACAAAGACAACAAAAGTATACACATGATACTCTAAAATAGAGATATGAGTAGTATCCACATATGTAACAGGAGCAACAACACAGGCCATAGCAAGGCAGGGGCTCCGACAGATGAAGCAAAGGCTGAGGATGCCCATTCACAACTGCTTTAAAGTACATTTACCATGGTAAAATGGACAGTGCCTCTGATTAGACATCCCACCCTGCCTCTGTGCACCCACTCCTTCGCCCAAATGCCAAATCAAGTACTGATCAATGAGAGACATACTCATTTCCACTAGTTTCTCTCTCTAGATGTGAATTATTGCTTGAGGCTTTGACATGTGACATCAAATTTCTGTACTTCATGGATTTTCATTCCAGTAACTGAGCCTACCCCACATAGTTTTCCTGTACAAAGTCAGAGCAGTAAAACTGGGATCAGAGCTCCCACAGCCTGATGCAGAACTTTTGCAGGAAAACCTCTCTCTCACCCTGCAAGGTTGCCAGGAACTGAAACAAAATTTAATGTGCTTTTGTGAGTAAAGTCAGGTAAGACAACTTTATGCTAAGGTACAAGTTAAATTGGACACATGAGAGACTGCCAAGCTCACATTTTCATTTCTGGCTGACTTAGAAGTGCAAAATGCACTATGCTTTATGATTAAGCATGAATTTCAAAAATAGTCAAGAAGGTTTCTTGTGGTTATAGCCTATTGAACTTAAACTGCTTGATTTCAACTCAAAATCAAGGTAAAAATGTTTAACAAAAAACTATAAAGCAAACTTGAAATAAAATAAGAACCACTTTTTCATGTTTCTGAATTTTGTCTGACATAGCTTACATCAAGAAATCATGCTAAAATCCTCTGAAGCGCTATTATTTACTCTTCTTCACAGCAGACTATAAAGGTTTTGCCCAGAGCCTTGCTTAGGTACAACTGATTAAAATCTAGTTCAAAAGAACCATGCCACCCAGCCAGATATGAAGAGATTTGTTATTCTAAGACTTAGAAATAGACTAGTTTTGATGCCAGAAGTGAGTCTATCCAAGCTGTTGTTAAATAAATGAGTCTGTCTAAACTGAGATTTACCTCATATCTGCCCCTAAAGGCAATATGAGATGGGGGGTTTTTATATTTACTTAACAATATAATTAGTTATAACATGTTTTCGTTTCGTTAATCAGTGACTAATGAGACTGTTTTGTGCATATGCGATAACCGGCCCCATTAAATCACCAGAAACAATTGCACAGTACACTATGCATTTTGTTGTATTAATTCTGTGCGTACATATTGAAGAAAATGTTTTCCACATCATAATATTTTAAAAAAACCCTGAAGTGTATTTTTTTTTTTAAAGACACACCTTTATGGCTAGCAATAAGCTTGGGGTGTGCTTTCTAACATGGAACAAGTTAAAAATTTCTCCTTCCACTGCAACACATCTCAGTCCTGGGAATATCCAAGAGCAATCCTCTCTCAGTTATTATTTGGTGAAATTATTTAATTACCTAACAGTGTTACTTTGCCCCTCCTGAGTTTGGTATTGAGGGAATTTAGATAGAACCACTCAGCTGATTCCTGGTGATTAAAGTGTTCTCTATTACAAGGAAAGATATCTAACAAAAACCATAATGCTAATTCAATCCTGTATAAAATCCCACAATTACTATTATCTCCAAAGAAAATCAGGAACTTTAAGGCATGAGGGTTATTCAGGCACTGCAAAGTCTTCTCATGACTAAAGAAAAAGACTTTTCAGGCCCTGGCAACATTGACAAAGGACTTTTCTGGAAGCATGGAAAGAGTTAAGAGGCAGCTGGAGCACTCTGCTGGTGACCATTTGCACGCCTGCAAGCTACAGTCTGCAAGGTACAGCAGAGACATTATCAGATTAGGGGAAGGCAAACAAACCAAACTGAAACCATTCTTCAGTGCCCAGCCTCTTCTTCCTGTGATGTCATGCTACAAATTGCCTGAGCGCTCTGCTCTCCTCTCCAGAAGGAGCTGGGCTGCAGGAGGGCTGCCGAGAGCTGTGGGCTGCAGGAACAAACACGCTCTGGAATTCGGTTTCTGCCCTGGCAAGCAGCTCCCTTCTGCTTCTGCTTCCTGCCCCATGGGGCCAGCCAGCAAGCTGAAAAACTTGTTGTACAGAAAGAAGGCTGAGGGAGAAATGCAAGTGCCCACGTTGTGGCGTCCAGGAAATCGTTTCGTAAGGCACACACTCCCAGTACGTTCGGATGGACAAGGCTTTGCCGTCACGATCTGCAGCCAGGAGTAAGGCAGAAAGCCCTACAATGGTGGGAAATGGAATTAAGCAAGCTTTGAGGTGATCTCATCTGCCACAGGTGATGCCTTTTCTGCCTTTTGTCCACTGGCTATGTGATTACAAATAGCACTCGGAAGAAAAGAGTGACCTTCTGGTGATTTCTGCTGGAGATGTACTCCCCCGCCACAGAGCTCACCTTTCTTCCCTGAAGCTTCACAGCACAACAGATTTGCCAAAGCACACTGTTCAAAATACATCTGATCTGCGAGTTCTTCTGGAATTTCAAAAAAGTTGCAATAAAAATACCAGAGAAACCTCCAAATCACAGGAATTTCAAACATACCATTATAATGGTAAGCTCTAATTGTTCTACTGAGGACTCCTTTAAATATACTTTGTATGGGTGTATCTTTAGCATGGTGTTTGTTCTCGGCCTCATAGCAAACTGTGTGGCAATCTACATTTTCACTTGTACCTTAAAAGTGCGAAATGAAACTACAACTTACATGCTTAATTTAGCCATATCGGATCTGCTTTTCGTGTTTACATTACCCTTCAGGATTTATTACTTTGTAACCAGAAACTGGCCATTTGGAGACATTCTTTGCAAGATTTCTGTCACCCTCTTTTATACAAATATGTATGGGAGCATTTTATTTCTGACTTGCATAAGTGTAGATCGCTTTTTAGCTATCGTACACCCCTTCCGATCTAAGACTCTTCGAACCAAGAGGAATGCAAAAATCGTCTGTGTCGCAGTGTGGATAATTGTGTTAGCAGGCAGCACACCAGCAAGCTTTTTCCAGTCTACAAACTGCCATAACAACACTGCACAAAGGACATGCTTTGAAAACTTTTCAGAGGACACGTGGAAAACCTACCTATCTCGGATTGTTATCTTCATTGAAACAGTTGGGTTTTTTATTCCACTCATCTTGAATGTTACCTGCTCCACCATGGTCCTACGGACTTTGAATAAGCCGCTTACATTAAGCCGGAATAAATTAAGCAAGAAAAAGGTACTCAAAATGATTGTTGTCCATTTGGTGATATTCTGTTTCTGCTTTGTGCCTTATAATGTTACCTTAATACTTTACTCCCTTATGAGAACACAGACCTGGATTAATTGCTCAGTGGTAACTGCAGTCAGGACTATGTACCCCATCACTCTGTGTATCGCCGTTTCAAACTGCTGTTTTGACCCTATCGTCTACTACTTCACATCAGATACAATCCAAAATTCGATAAAAAAGAACCGGTCCACAAGAACACGGGATGTCAGATTCTCTGAAAGGCCAGTTTCAGAAAACTTCATTCAACACAGCCTTCAGACCATAAAAATGAAAATATTTGACAGTGACTCTACAATATAAACTATATTAAAAGACTACTGGGACTAAACTGGATTTAGAAGCCTGCGCATTTCTTCAGCTGTGGACATATGTTCTGATATGTAAATGTTATGCTTCCTTCACATCTGAAAAGTTTATTACAAGGCTGTAAAAGTGTTAAGCATAATAGCACACGGGAAAAGTATTTTAAGAATTTACGTCAAAGGTCTGTTCTGACAGATTGTATGTTAGGAATGAACTTTTAGGTTTGGATTAGGTTAACCAAAGTCCAAAGACTGTTTGTCAAGTCAAACACAAATAAAAAAATAGGTTAGTTTTCTTTCCTGAAGTTAAAACAATTGCTCATTTTTAATAATGATATCAGTTTCCAAGTTACTGAGGATGGGGGTGAAGCTGCCTACTTTACACTACAGGATCCAGTCATTCAGGAAAATTGCCCCATATTGTCATATCACTTCAGCTACTGTGCCTGCTCCAAGGTTTCCTCTTTCCTCTCTCTCTTCCTCTTAGTCCTTCCCCTCCTTCTTTTTCCCTGCACCTTCCTTCTTAGGGAACATTACGTTCATAGGAGGTTTCAATCCATGGGTTATAAGAACTTTGTTTCTCCTAGGTTTATCTTATTAAAACATATGCTATCTCCACAAGTCTGGCCCCCATGAAGTAATTAAGTCTTCTGGTAGTTTAGAGCATTTGGAAACAACTTAGACTGGTTTTTCTTCTCACCTCCGTCTCAGATGCCTATGTAATTAAAACAAAGTAATTTCTGATGACCGAAATTAGTGCCTCAGGTACAGTAACACTGTATTAAACTCTTTTGTGAGAAGTTCTCAAACTCAACATGACTTTTGAGGAAAATAACATCCTCCAAATAAGTTAATTCGATCCAAAGTAGTATTTTCTTAGAAAAATATGACTTTTGCCAACTAGAAATGAACATGTGCATCAACTCAAATATTTCTTCCAGAAAACTATTCAGTGTCCCCTGAAGAAATTCAAGACACTGTGATTTTGAGTGCAACTTCCTCTCAATTTTCATGTCCTAGAAATAATTTTAACATAAGCATTTAAAATTTCAAATGCTATTTTCTTTCAAACTTCAAAAAGTAATAAAAATCAGTACTTGGGGTTATGTGCTGGTAAAATTAACCAAGACATTTTGAGAAGTCAACGCTATGTAAAAGGAGGAATCTACATATATTAATGTTACAAACAAGAATACATAGACAAAAGTGCTTTAAAACATCCTGCTATATACGTTTCCCAGCTCTAGAACACTGTGTACATTTTCCTCAAAATTAATTTAACATCACTGTAAAATAAAAAAAATTTAAAAGGTAAAAGTAAGTGTTGTTTTTTCCTCCTCAAAAACAATGGAGTCAAGAATAAGAACTGAGTTTACATGAATTTGCACTTTAGATTTAGGACAGTCAACTGCAACCCAGATACAGCACTGAGGCACTTTTACTTCAGGGTTGTATAAAGAAGCACGAATCAATGTTGGAGAAAATGCATATTGAGCTGTCAGAGTATATCATATGTTATCTGGTTGAGTTTACTTCCCTTTGCAAAGCTTCTGTTAATTCTTACAACTCAACAGTACATTGCCTCCTATGACTGGGTAACTGAGTTACTGAAAGACTGCCAGAAAGTAATATTGATTGAATTTTAAATTTAAGAGCATTTTCAATCTTTATCCATACAACTTATAAAAGGAAAAGTCAAATAGTATGAGCTTAAGCTACAAACATATCACAGATATAAACATCTGCATAATATCTGAAAATAAGCAATTATCTTTGTTGGGAATCCTAAACTCTTCTAAGATCTGACTTCAGAAAAATGCACAAAAGCCCCAGCATAGAGTAGAAATCCTGTACATTTTCCATATGCCACTGACAAATCCAAAGTTCAAAACCAGATACATCTCAGGCTCTCTAAAGAGCCTGTTTAATACTAGACTCCCTTTTAAAGACTGTGAGACAAAAGCCTTTAAATTACATACGGGGCTATGTTTCTAGGCTACTACCCTCATGGCGCTTGTCAAAGCTGTTACTCAGTTGAGTGACAACTTGTTCAGTAACATCTCTGCACTACAGCAGTGAGCACCCCGGAGCCTCACCCTGGTAAAGAGAAGCTACTCAGTCTGAGATTACACAACTGCAGGGGGGGGGAAATAAAGAAAAAAAATCACTGACTTACAAGCAGAACAAGCAGATAAAGTCACATGCATGAGTACTCCCCCTTTAAACCAGACTTCCTTGGTGTATTAGCTCGAGTAGGCTGGAGAAGAACAGACAGGAGGTCTTTCTGCTTTGCACTTACTCTCCAGGGCAGAAGCTTCTGCTTTTTGCAACAGCACAGTGCCACACAATACAATAGCTTTCTAACCAGTTAATAGTTTGATATCTCAAAACTATTCATGGAAACTTTGTATTTTTTATTATTAAACCTACTTCACTCTTCCACAGGGGTGTGTGTACGAGAACCAAATACCCTAACCAAAAAAACAACACAGTCAAAAAACCATCATCTGTAATTTTGAGAATCAGGCCATTACTTGAAAAATTCCTAATCTGACTGATTTAGAAGAGGAGTGAATCTGTACCTCCCACAACAAGCTGATATAAAGCCAAGGTACCAGCTATTCAGGACTGGATGAGATTTTCTCCACCTTTTCTGGTTCTGCAACAAGATTATCCTGGAGAGTTGTGGATGGAGCAATGTTTTCACTGGTACATTCCTGAACAGATGCACTCCCTCCCTGTGCTTCTGCCTTTGATACCAACTCTTGTGTCTCTCTGGTAAGGTCTGGTGCCAAAATTTAAATTTAAAACCTAGATGAGGAGTTATGATGCTAATTCATGCCAAGAGCTCTCAAATAAAAAAGGCTTATATTGTCAGAGCTCCTGAGGATCTGAATGTGTTGCAACCAGTACTTCCTAAAAGTGAATTATTTTTACTCATATGCCTACACAGGAGGCATTAGGAGCTCAGTTCTAGGATCAAAACTTAAAAAACCTGTTCTTTGCAGTCTGGTTTCTTCATCTACAGAGTGCAGAAAATGCACACTTACTATAAAAATAAAAGCAGAGGAAATTTAGTTGATTCCAAGCATGGTTTTGATCTAAATCAAGGCAGGCAGGCATTGATAGCTAAATAATTAACCAGCAGTTTCAAAAGACAAGGAAAAAGAAACAAACCTATGATAAACACCTCAGATTTAATCTCAACATATCATTGCTTCAAAAATCAAAAGATGTCCTCCTATGTTATACTTTCTATACTCAGCTTGGAATTTTAACTTCTGTTTTTTTCGGGAACAGAATGCAAGTCAATTTTTTTTTCCCCCTTGGTATACATGTCTTGGATATTCAAAGAAATACCAATACCAAGTCAAAAACATTTTCATACTTTTCATCCAAAAGTGTGTAAAAAACCCCATGGAAGATACTGTAGACAGATAAGGAATTCTTAACCGGAATCAACCTCCAAGCTTTCATTTCTTAAGGAGGTAACCTCAGACATAGAAATGCAAAGACTGAGAAAGACCTTTTGAGACCAGGTAGAAGATAAGAATGGCTGTACTGGATCAGACCCCAAACATTCAGCTAATCTACACTCCTACCTCCAACAGCAGCCAAGGTTGGATGCCTGGGGAAGAAGATAACAGTAGGAGAGGCACACAAGACTTTCTCAAGTGTTGTCCCACTTTACCGGTCTTATCTCAGGACTTTTGGGATCAGATATATTTGTGTGTTCAGCAACATTAAAAATTTCTCTTCTGTGAGCTTCTCCTGTCTTCCTTCAAACGTGTGTAAAGTTTTTAACATTCACAGCAGTAAAAAGTTCAGATTGCATATGTGTGGAGGGGGAATAAAACTAAGAAACCCAAACATCATTTTGTTTCAAATCCACTAGTTTCATTACTGCCCCCTCACTTCTTTTGAAAGAGCCAGAGAGTACTAGATTGTCATTCAGTCTTTCCATATCACTCTTGATTAGTTGGTCTTCCATTATCTCTTGCAAATGAGATAGTGATTTTCACTTGTAATTTCAAGCATCATCATCACCAAAGATGAAACTTCTAGAAATACACAAAGAATTCAGCTAAAATTACAGAGAACCCCATGAGGTTCGCTTTGAGACTGGTAATTTGAAAATCCCACCCAAGCACAGTATCCTCTAGCCTTATTTATTCTTTCAAGTTATTTTCTAGGAGTTTTATCAATGAAGAGCAATTTGTTCATACTTTTCCAGCAGTAAATGTAATAGTATAAGGTTCTTGCACCTAGGCAGACCTGTAAATCCTGACAAGTTCCCCTTTTTGCCAGACTATTATAATTTAGACTTCTGGGTTTCTGGCATTTGAGTACCACTGACAAAATGAAAGAGGATACGTTTCAAAAGCTAAGGAAAAATGTAAATCAGAATTATTCTAAATCTAGAAGATATAAATGTCTGGGCTGCATTGGTTATCCAATTACCAGAATGTTGAAAACATTGTATAAACACAACTGCCACTGCATTAGTATGTTTACAGAATGTACTCAATGCAACTCATTTAAGATGAATGCAAATTCAGAAAGCCAAGCTTGCACAGTCTAATACTTCTGCAAGAAGTTGGATGGAGAAGTTTGTTCTAGTTGACTAATTCTGTTTTGACACTGAAGCCTTTTGCATTTATTGCCTCCCCTCCATCCAGTTCTTGTTATACAGCTGTTTATAAAGTAAGCCCAGTTTTTCCCGTAAGAAAACTGAACTTACCACAAAATTAAACCAAACAAAAAGAACCCTTTGCACATCTTCTGGACTTTTATAAAACCTACCACTTTGTCAGAAAACTAAAAATTCCAGAGCTAAGAATTTATATTTTAAATAACTCTTTTTTTCTATTTAAGAAACAGTCTCCCACTCTAGTTCTAGCAAAACTAAAAGCTGTCCTGCACTAAGACAGATAAGTTCTCTACAGTTTAAACTTGAGAATCAAATTGCAAGCAACGACAAAGGAAGGCCTCCAGCAAGAAGTTCTTATCCTTTTACGATGAGATAAAAAGAATA